GACGTTTGCGCATTTGTATACTGTTATTTTACGATTGGTTTTAGAATTTTAGTATTACTTTTATATTTATTCTAAAAAATAAGTAGATAAGTTAGTTCGAATTGGCTTCAGGAAATCGCACTTCGGGTTACACATTTTCCTAATGAATACAAAATTATCGTTATTAAAAAGGTCTTGAGGCTCAAAATTGTTTATCATATATGAAAAAATCTTGTCTAGGGGTATGATTCTCGCTTCGAAAAAAAAATTGCCTTAGTATCAAATTGGAACAAATCTCTAATAACCTAGAGCAATATTCATGCAAGAAATTTAAACATCTATTCAACTGTTTTTGAACTAAAAGTGCATGTGAAAGACAAATAAATAAAATAGTCTTTAAAATTCTTTTTTAATTGGTTGTATATGTTTTGTTTATATAAAATAGTTCCTAGCTATTTATTTTCAGATTAGAATAATTAAAAATCAGTGATTCTGTATGTACGTATACAATCGTATCTATTAAATTGATAGTTAACACGTTTTTTATTCAATGAATAATTTAATTATAACCACCATTTAGAAAACAGAAGTAAAATATAATAATAACTCTTTACTGTTATATTAAATTTACAAATGATGTTTTCATATTTTGTAAATATGGCAACATCATTTATGTTTGAAGTATTTCGAGATAAAATAATAATCATTAGGTACTTTAAGGGAGACGTGTAACATTCTTGTTCTCCTTTCGTTCCGTATTGTTAACCGACTTTAAAAAAAGGAGGTAATCATTACGTATGTATATTTTTTTTATTATTGCTATGCAATTCGTCAACAATTACATAAAAATATCTCTATCTTTACTTAATTCCACATTATTCAAGATCTAACAGCCTAGGCTTAACTTAACGCCTTGAATTTAAATTAATTATTGCTAAATTAACCTTAGCGTTGGACTAAATTTAAAATACACTATCTAATATTGTATATAAAATATTTTGATTCTGATCCCTTTTATGGAACTAAACGTAATGAAAACGTAATGAAAACTGGACAAAAGTTTATTATACTTTACTTTTAGAAAACTTAAAAATACAAAAAGAACGAATCACAAAAACATTTATAAAAAGAAACTCAACTTGCTCTCAGGAAGTAATTGCTTAGCATTTGTATTCAAGGGAATTGAAACTCGTTCAAAACCTCTACAACCTGCACAAGAAAATATGTACTATGTGTATTTTGATGCCACTGTCACAAATTTTAGTATACTTTGCTATACTGACACCTTAACACTACATACGCAGCCTTAAAAGTCTTTCATTCACAGGCATTTACATTAATAGTTTTTACGTAGTTTATTCAATGAAAAACTTGAAACGCTTCCTATGTACTTTCACGATGAAAAATTTGGATTACACACATAGGGCGTATCTGCGGTATTTTAAATTAATCACACATGTAGGTAATTGCTTTATTGAGTATTCGACTTTTTATGGCAATCAACCTTTAAGAAATAGCTGCGATTTATGTATGAAATAATGAATCCAAGTACTTTTATCTACAAAATCCTTTAAGATGTTTCGTCATGTGTCGCGTTCCCACTTTTATGAATGCGATGCATTAAACAACAACCAATTTATAAATTTGGTTGGCGTTAAAAAAGTATATGAAAAAATATATATTGTTTAAAAAAATAAATAAATGCTCAATGTTTTTACATTATCTAATAAGCTTTACATAAAACTTTTTAAATATAAACTCTTAGATAAAAAGCTATACATTTTTCTTAATAGCTCAAGTTAACGAGAACGTAGATTAATATCCGCAGTTTTCATAAAGGAAACATTAATATTAAAATTAGTTTTCATTTAGATGAAGGTTAGTTCTGACGGGCGCTGGGTTAGACACTGAAAAATTACACGCTCGCCTTGAGAATTTGTTTAATGAAAGATATTTTACCTGACAAACAAAACATTTTCATTTTTATGCGAAGAATTTTCCAGCTAAAGTTGTTCTGTTATAAAAAAGGTTTGATATATTTCAGGATGATAAAAACAACCTTCTTGGTTCAATTTTAGATACAATTATATCAAATTTCTAGTCTTATAATTGAGTTTTTTCAAAATGACCACTTACTTATAATTGATTTGCCAATAATTATAAAGAAAAAATAATTTTGTAACCATTATTACGAGCAGTCGTTATAAAAATGAATTAATAATATGTGAATGTACGATGTGAGTAAATTTCGAGAAAGTTGTTTTTATTTCAATTTATTATTTTTGATACAATCATTTGCAAAAGATAATGTTCAAAGCGAAGTAAATAAATAATCCAGTACGCGAAAGTATCTTACTAATTTAAAATATACCTACTGCTCAACCTAAATGACAAAAATTGTAAAGAAACGTTTGGCTTTACTTTTTTTTTCTGTTCGTAAATGAAGTTCATTAATTTCTTATTATTAAATATAAAATATATTACAGTCTGTAGTCAAAACTCACGATTACTTTTATTGAAACGTGTTAAAAAATATATATATTTTTGGATAGAAATCACAACTTCAATATAGTAGAGCCTAGCTGTGGTCCAGTAACTATATCTCGAACACGGGCTGGCTCGACCGGGGAAGTACCACTCTCTCACAAAATATCGACGTGAAGTAGTCTTTAATGGCTGCGTTTCGTCCGATGAGTGAGAGAGCCGGTTGCCCTTTCCCTGTTCCCACCCTTTCCTTGTATTTCCTTATTCCCACCCCTCCCGTTTCCCCCTCAAGTAAGGTTGTTAACGCATCATCTATGTTACGTATGTCCATGGGTGACTGTGACTACTGATCATCGAGTAGGCCGTCTACTCGTTTCTACCTTTCACATAAAAGAATAATATATTTTTACTTTCAACCGACTGTTAACTTTGTAGTAAGCGGCATTGGAACATAGTGTAACTTATTTCATTCAATACTAGCTGACCCGGCAGACTTCGTACTCACTCAATCAAGAAATAATTTATTCCTTATTATTTTTTTGGAATTCACCTTTAAGCCATAAATCTCCGCGTTCTAAAGTGCGACAGAATGATTGACATATTAGTTAGTTGTCAAATCTAATGTCAAAAAACCCGTTTGTATGGGAAATAGAAAAGCGCTGTTTTTAGGGTTTTCAAGGAAATTAATTTTTTTTTCAGCTTTTATACCTTCCCTGAACCTCCACGAACATTTCAAGACTAAGATAAAATAAATCCGTTCAGGCATTCTCAAGTTTTAGCGAGACTAAGGAACAGCAATCCATCCCTACTAATATTATAAATGCGAAAGTAACTCTGTCTGTCTGTCTGTCTGTCTGTCTGTCTGTCTGCTACGCTTTCACGCCTAAACCACTGAACTGATTTTAATGAAATTCGGTACAGAGATAGAGTTGACCTTGAGAAAGAACATAGGATAGTTTTTATCCCAGACTTTTGAAAGGTTCTCTTGGAAACGCGATATAACCGAACTCCACGCGGCGAAGCTGCGGGCGGAAAGCTAGTTTTTATATATATAGATAAAGGTACGTTTAAATGCATATTAATATTCAAAACCTAGCCAGTATTTTTTTACTTGGATACTTAATCAGAATTTAAAAAGGTTTTTTTATGTTATAGAATTTGTATTTAACGATTATTTGAGATGTTAGTCCTCGTGTAAAATCATTTTTTATTGTACCTTGTTATCTTCGTGACATACATTCAAAGGGTAATAAAAGTTGAAATCTTTAAAATACATCTTTATTAGTCTACATACCGCGACATAGCATGCATATCTAACAGATAACAAAATTGTCTACTTACATACTTACATACCAAAGAATACAGATTATATAACAAAAATATAAAATAACAGCGATTTGTCATTTTTAAAGAAAATTAATTTTTAAAAGAAATACTTAAAGAGTATACCGCATGTAAAAAAAGTCGTTTTAAATCATATAACCTTTTTTTTTAATGATATGTCATCAGTTTTTTTTTTATTATCCTTTAATGTTACATGGATTAAAAAAAAACTAAAATAATGGACGACTGTTTTAAGTATTCTGTTATTATTCCTCATTATTATTTATTGTTTATTTAATGAGATACTGATTTGAGTTGAAACATTTGTGCATAAAATGTATGACAACTATGATTTGTAGCTCACAAATGATGTAAATGAGACTTAAATATTAAATCATATACTGAATACAGATAAACAAATTAAAACAATTAATTTTTTTATCTTATAAAAAATTTTGCCGCCAAAATTCGTTTATATTCAAAAAGAAAACATATACGTACTTACCAATAACAACTAAGGAGGTAATATGGAAACTATAACTGTTTGATTTAACCCAAAACCTAACTTTTGTTGCTTCTATATCATTTTTTACAGAAAACATTAAAAAACTAAATTAATACAACCGTTCATTTCAACAAACGAGTCTTAGAAATGCTTACCTTATTTTACTGATGAGGAATTACTTCACTAGTTATCATAAAAAAATATAAACAGATTTATTTATATTGCCATCCACGTATATTCAAAACAAAATTCCTTTATTAATATCCCATATCCGATTTAAAACCTTAATACAGTAACAAAATGTTCATATTTGATTGATAACACTGAATATATAAAGTATGTAGAAATGTCAAAAACATTTTGGCAGTATTTAACATATAAATGCCGTCATATATAAGTACTTCTGTAGCCAATTAAAATATTCTTTGTAATGTTTCATTATACATAATACATGTACAACTTGTAATTCATACTAACTGTATAATTAAATGCTCTATACATAACTTATTTTAAAAATGAAAAGTTATTAAATATTCTAAAACATCTAATTATATATAAAACAAGGCATTACATATTATTATTATTAAATGAGCAATATATGATTGTGTATAATAGCTTCTACATTTGTTCCCATACAAGCTGTTGGTAATAAATATAATTGTTAAGCAATTGATGCTTCAATTAATCAATTAATCGATTAAATTGCATATTAATTGTATTCTAAATCAGTATTATCTACAGGTGGTCGTGGATTATTAACAACTGCTTCTGGATTGATTGAATGTACCGGGGCAGGATTCATGATTCTGTTTGGCATTCTAGATATATCTACAACTGGCAATCTAAGAATATAATCTTGATCTAATCTATCCAATCTAGATCTATCAGATAGAGGTATAACTCGTAAATCAGCTGTTGATGTTGATGCTATAGCATTAAGTCTAGGTATTCTATGAGCTAAGGATCTTAATCTGGAATTATCAGAACGGTGTTCAGGTACATAATTCTGTTCTGTACGTCTTTCTGTTCTGTTTGATGTGAACATGTGTTGATATCTTGTTATTTCACATGGCAATAAAGGTCTGGCGTCTCTCCCAATTCTTTGTACGGTGATTTGTCTCTGGCTAGGATTTGAGTCTATAGGATTCGTTGGATGTACTAGAATACTGCTTTGGGTCACTCGAGTGGGCGATGGGAAGTTCAGTGCTAAGAAATCGGGAAGTGGAACGCAAAACACACCGAGCTCCTCCTGAAACATTATTAAAATATATTACATATAACTTAATTTTGACAAACTAAATTTATTACATTAATCAATTGTAACAATAACTAGTGACGTAGTTATTGTTATAATTGATTACAAAACTGTCATGACCACTGTTATCTTATTAACTATAACAAATTTAAGGATAAGTTCTACAAATTCTATTTGTATGTATTATTATATTGTATGGAATGTAATCATTCAAAGGTTAATACCTTTATCCATAAATACAACGAAAAATGCAATTTCTACTACTAGAGTAATAAAAAATATTATTCATGTATAAATATGTTACGCTCAAAGATCGAATACGATCAGTGAACAAAAAAATAGCTGACAACGCGTTCTGGTCAGATTAAAACATCCACATTGCGATATTCGTGTTATGGCTCTAATGAAAACGCGCTTGACACGTTGTGGCAGTGAAGAAAACCATGATAGGTATTATTTTTTGTATTACGCACACTTCTTTTTATATGGATCCTACAAGGCCTAGGCTGGAAAGGTTTTCGTAGATGTCCTTAGGAAATATTTTTATTTTATAAAATCATTTCATAACGTCTTTGTCACCGACACGTAACAACATGTCCATCCTAATTTGATAAAACCAGAAAACGCGAATCTTTGAGCGTAACATATAATATATTGTTTATTAGTACAATACATATAAACCATTGTAAGATTTATAGTGAAGGTAGAATACAGAATTTTTATATGATTACATAATTAGTAACTGATTTCAGCATTTCTATTTGATATATTTCTTCGAGTTACTCTCATTGCAGTGAATGTAAGCGTGAAAAAATTGCTTACAACAATATTTAAAACTTAAAACCAATAAAATTTATAATTAATCACTAATTTATGAACATTTTTAAAGTATGCAAAGACATACTGCTGTAATTTTTTTAGTATGTACTAACTAATTTACTTACAGATGAGTTAGGTGTTCTTTCACTATCAGGAGTTGTCAAGAAAGGTTTCCTTTCAATCTCAGTTGAACCATTACTAGCTGGCTTCTCATCCAATACAACATCGGGTACCACTTGTAGATCTTCAGATGGGTTCGGAACGACCACATATGAAGCTATTATGCTTGACAATTGGTCTAAAACCTGGAATATAAAAATTAGATTACTCTATTCATTCTCAATAGACCTTATTTATTTATTTATATACTTTTTATTGCACACCAATATAGACAAAAACAATAGGAGTAAAACAAAAACAAAGAAAAGAAAAATGAACAATAGGCGGCCTTATCGCTAAAATAGCGATAATTTTATATATAAAAGAAAGTCATGTTAGTTACACTATTAAAAACTCAAGAACAGCATTACGTTATACTGAAAATTGGTGCAGAGATAGCTTAGAACCAAAAAGATATAGGATACATTTCATGCGTTTGAAATAACAAAATGAAATAAATTTATAAAATCCAAAATCTTATTTGCTGCCTTTAAGGAGGAATAGATTACACCCAATCAGCTATACATTTCTAATTTTTATAGTAACGCAGACGAAGTCTCTGGCAAAAACTAGTTCTACATATATTTAAACAACTACTAAATACAATAGAAAATCGATTATCCGGCCCTCAGTTATACGGATTCGCGGTTATCCGGACTACGGACAAGTCCGGACAAGAAAAAATGTCAAATCGTAAGAGAGTGGTGTTGAGAGTGGCTTACGTCAAATGACTATTACCAAATATTCTATACCAAACGAAACTTATTATTTTAATTCATGATTACCAATTGCAAATTACCAAATACATATTGTAATTTAATTTTTAAATAGACATATAATATTATGAACTATATAAGCACAAAACCGGCTTTTCTTCATACATTCAATTATCCGGATTTTCGATTATCCGAATGCCTATCGACAACAATTAGTCCGGTTTATAGAGTTTTTACTGTATTGCATAATTTAAAATAAATAATTAATTTTATATTATATTTAAATTTAGCTTAATTAGTTAATTACATACCTGATCTGCTAACAATCTATGTTTGGGATCTTTAACCAATAACCGTTGTATTAAGAATACTGTGCTGTCTGTTACTTGAACTGAGTTTCCATCACTGAAATAAAAAAATACAATTTATAAGTAGGTTTCACTAATTATGGTAAATTTTAACCGAGGAAGGTTTAACTAGTGGATTTGCGTTAATATTCATAAATAGTAAAAAAGTATCTTTACTCTTTCAGTATGTAAAAAAAAATTGTCTGTAATTCTGAACGTTTTTAATTTTATTTACGTGTTTTTTATATTGTTTGTAACTTACAAGACAATTTTGAACAGATATGCTTTATCATATTGGTTTGTGGTTAAATTGACAATATTTAAAGTTAGTTCCAATCAAATAGAATCGAAAAATATATGAAATAATATTTCGATACCTCCCACGTAAGTTGCTGTATGCCACAAAAATGCAATTTTGTTTTTTTTCTAAAAAATATCCTATAATGAATGGATATAATGGATCATTACATCCATTCAAATTAAAAAAACAACAAAAACACTATTTTTAAAGGATTTGTCAGACGCATAATGTTGTAATTTTCAAACGCGAACGGATTAAACTGATGTATATTGAATATGCCTATGCAACTGTATACGCGGGGCGCTAGGCGGGTAAAATCACGCGCCCGCGCTGAGTATGAGTTACATACAACAGAATAAGACTTATGTTTTTCAACGTATACAGTTGTAACTATCATATACCACAAGTGATGCTACCTGGGCGCCGCGGTATAATGTTGTAAGTATCAGATACAACGCCTTTTTTAGCTTCTACTCCGTAGTAAAATGTCGTACGAACAATATAACGACAATATCTCCTCAAATTAAAACATATTTAACGTAGTTAAGAAGACTATTATGTTAAATTTAAATATGATATTTTAAAAAGATGCATCAATAAATGCAGATTTTGTTTTAATTTGAATCTTTAAAACGCTTTACTGTAAAATTACACTTTAAAGATACAACAACTTACGTGGGAGATATCGATTTGCTTGTCTATTCAACATTTTTGTTTTATTGTTAATCTTGATACAATAGTATTGAAATTATGTATGGAATCAATAGATGAGAAACGATTTAATAGTTAATTCAGTAGTTTTAAGACAATTCTTTCCTTAAAATAACTATTCATACAATTATATAACAAACAAGCAAATTATTGGTCAACTACATATTCACAATATAAATATAAAAAAAAATTACAACCTCTGGTCATTTTAAAACATTATAAAATCTCTTTAAATAGTACAGCTGTTTCTTATAAAATAATAAAGAATTCAATCCTACTAATATTATGTATAATTGCGAAAGTTTGAGAGTGTGTGTGTATGTTTGTTACTTCTTCACACTCAAACAGCTGAACCGATTTTGAAAAAATTTTGTATACAGGAAGCTGACGTCCAGGAATAACATATAGGCTACTTTACATCCCGGAAATCCGCGTTTAACACGGCGGGGCGCAGCTAGTATAAAATAAATGCACAAAATTTACAATCTGTAAGAATAAGAATTTTAATTACAAATACTACTAGTTTATACCAATAAATAATAAGAAAAGAATATATACTTACGGTGGAATGTTATAATTGGCTGCCTGAATCCTGCTGAATAGTTGGGCTAGGCTTGTATCACAGAAGGGAAACTGTCCATATAACATAGTATATAGAACTACACCCAGAGCCCACATGTCCGAAGGTTTACCGAGGTAAGGCTTGCACATTAATACATCAGGAGATATATATGCGGGGGAGCCTGAAATATTTATATATAAAATCAAAAATCTTCATACAATATAATAACTCCTATATTAGAACACAATTATTTAATGAGATCTAAGACTTTTGTGAGTATTCATTTAAATGACACTAATATTTTCCAATGTACAACATGTTTGTTTTAGTATTTTAAAGACTACATTCCCGAAAATTCAGTAATTTTGAAGCAACCATGATCATATTGTCTGCCTGTGATCACTGCTGCTACAAAATAACCAAAACGCATGTAGTAATCCAAATAAATAATAATACTAGCTTCAATCAAACATATGTAGATATTATTAATTCAATTTAGAAATAAAAATGTTAAAGCTACATTGTTTGAAATAATATTGTCTTTAACAATTTTCTTTCATTAAATAAAAAATACATTCAGTGGTATTAATAACAATCAATGAAACTGTGAAAATATTAAAATTTAACTTTAACTTTCAGATCTAAAACATTTATATTATTCTCTTGTTCATACAAGTCTATTCATTGAATTATATCTCTATATACCTCGTTGATCTTTTAATAGATCTCTGTCGCTTCCCAAATGTGTTCCTAAACAGAAATTTGTTATAATGACTCGTCCAGTTCTTTGGTTTAAAACAATATTTCCAAGTTTCAGGTCTCTGTGAACTATGTTTCTCTGAAAATGTTATACAATAACTATAGATACAAGTTAATATATTTATAAAGTAATAATTCTCCGAGGATGAAAGTATTATGTAGAACAGTTTCAATATGTGGGTCGCTACCCCTAAGGGGATCGCAAAGACTTAATCAGAGGGTTGCTAGCAAAAGGAAAAAGGTAATGTTTGACACTACAATAAAAACTAAATCTTAATAGGAACAATGGGCTAGTTTATTTTTCAAAAGCATGTCAAGTCATGGTGCTATTTTTGAAATATTAACAATCAGATTAACTTGTATTTTAAGTTTATTTCTTTTTTGTTTTGATTGCATAAGGGGACGACAAAATTTTTCAACCCATAAAAGGGTTGGTATATCAAAAAGAGTGAAGAACACGGATGTAGTACAAACCATACATTTAAAATTTTTAATTATTTCTGCTCACCTTATGTAAATTAGCAACAACCCTAACTATATCATAAAAGATCAATATGGCTTCCTTTTCAGGAACTTTCTTCACTTTAGTAACATATTGTTGTAAATTAATAAGTTCGCTACCCTTTTCACTAAATTGGTGTGCATTCACACAATCTAATACTAGAAATAGCCTTTGTCTCACACGACCAGTGTATATTAAGCCTGGACCATTTGGATTTGGAACTTCTTCAACAGCATGGTCCTGGAATTATTTTCAATGCATCACATGAATATAAACATAATAACATCAAAAGATAAAATAATTCTATTGTTTTATTAAGAAAATCCTTCTTCAAATAACTACTAGTTAAATAAACATGACTTAGAGAACACACACTTGTAATTGCTAAACAAATATTGCCACTAACCTTAAACAATCCATGATGATGTATAACACCATCCTGGTCTTTTAACAACGATAACAATGAATACTCCGTGTGCAGAAGCATTTTGCCTTGTCTGTCATCTTGTGTTTCAGTTTGTCCCTCGTTTCGAAGGGTTAATATTTTTATTTGGTAGAATTCATCAGTCTTTTCTTTACGAGCCAAACACTGCACTATACTCTTAACAGGACTGGGTCCTAATTTAGGTCCTAGTAAATAAGGGCCAGCTTTACGGACATGCTTATCCGGAACTGGGGTGCCAGGAGCAGGCACATCGCTTTTATTATATAGCACTTTTGGTTTACGGGGAGAGTTCGGACTTAACTTTTTCGAATTCTTTAGAACAGAACTAGACGTTGAACTTGCGTATGCAGAAACCCTCGCAATCTTTGGACTCGGTTGCAGCAACAAAGGTCGAGTTCGTTTACCATGATTAACACTAGTGCCAGGTTTTTCTTGATCCATAACTTTACTTCAACCAGCTGTAACTTTTCACTAAGAATTACAAAAAGATATTGTTGATTTTTTTATGTTTTTGTTAAGACATTATATTAAAGACAGATACGAAAGTAAGACGAATGTCCTTTATTTATTTGGACAAATCACACATTGAAATGTCTGTAATCATTGAATTATAAAATTGTTTAAAAATCTATACCACAGTATATAAAACTCCTCTTGGTTTAGTTAATTATTTTATGTAATATGTATCTAATTACAAATTATTGTGAGCAATAACTATTTATTTAGACTTCAAGCTATATTTTATTATATTACAGCAATATTAGGAAATGATTTTAAAAATTACTATTCCAATAGCAACACCAATGTATGATACAGATTTCTGATTTTGACAGATATTTTTAACCATGTTTTGTTAAGACCAATGTAGTTCCTGACTATATTTTGTGACATAACAACCAATAATATTGCGAAATATATAAAAACATAAAAAATTGTAAATAAGAGGGCCTTCGAACATTATGTGGAAGGGCTTAAGAATAACGCAGACTCAGCTTTCTAAGCTACATTTTAATGGGCACAAGCTTCAGCCAGTTGGTGTACCCGCTTTAGATTCTGTATTAAATGAGTGGTACGAGTTTTGCAATAAGCCCCCTAAAGGATTTGAAAAATATTTCAAACCGGGACCCAGTCAAAAACAACAAAAAAAACCGGAGAAAGATGATTCTCCTGCACCGTCAAAAAGTTCACCGCCACCGTCCAAGCCGAGCTCTTCACAGGATAAATGGAATATAAATATGTTTTCTAACACTGGTGGTGGTAGAGGTTCCGGTCGAGGAGGCTATGATGGTCAGGACAAAGAAAAGTGGATGATGTTCGGCGCTGTGGGTGTCGTAACATTACTTGCTTCCATCGCGTACTTCGAACTTAGATACAGAGAAATAAGCTGGCGAGACTTTGTAAATTTATATTTAAATAAAGGAGCAGTGGAAAAATTGGAAGTCATTAACAAAAAATGGGTTCGTGTCCGATTAAATGCAGGATCAGCACTTGAAGGAAAAATTATTTGGTTCGCCATAGGCAGTGTCGATTCATTTGAGAGAAATTTAGAAAATGCACAAATAGAAATGAGTGTTGAACCACCAAACTTTGTCCCTGTTATTTATAAGACTGAAGTAGAGGCTGCTAGTTTAACTGGAATGCTGCCAACATTATTGATAATTGGTTTTTTGATATACATGATGAGAAGATCAGCTGATATGATGGGCAGAGGCGGTCGGAAGGGTGGAGGACTCTTTGGTGGTGTTATGGAATCAACTGCTAAACTTATCAACCCAACAGATATTGGTGTAAAGTTCCAAGATGTTGCTGGTTGTGAGGAGGCAAAGATTGAGATTATGGAATTTGTTAATTTTCTTAAAAATCCCCAGCAATACATAGATTTAGGAGCTAAAATACCCAAAGGTGCCTTACTTACAGGACCCCCAGGTACAGGTAAAACACTTCTCGCTAAAGCCACAGCCGGCGAAGCCAACGTTCCATTCATAACTGTCTCTGGTTCTGAATTTTTGGAGATGTTTGTCGGTGTTGGTCCATCAAGAGTTCGTGATATGTTTTCCATGGCTCGGAAACATGCACCATGCATCCTATTCATTGATGAAATTGATGCCGTTGGCAGAAAGAGAGGAGGCCGCAGTTTTGGAGGTCATTCTGAACAGGAAAACACACTTAATCAACTCTTAGTTGAAATGGATGGGTTTAATACTACGACCAATGTTGTTGTGTTGGCTGCAACCAATAGAGTTGATATTTTGGATAAAGCTCTGTTAAGACCTGGTAGATTTGATCGACAGATCTTTGTTCCAGCTCCTGACATAAAGGGTAGGGCGTCCATATTCAAAGTACATCTTACACCACTAAAGACTACATTGAATAAGGAAAATTTGGCTCGTAAAATGGCTGCATTGACACCAGGTTTGTATATTTTTCAATAAATATATTATATACAATTATGTTACAATTAACTTCAAATTTAATATTAATCATATGGTTTCTTCCTCATTCCTTTAACATGTATAAAAGTATTAAAACAATATATATGTATATAAATAAAGTGATTATTACAGTTCTTATATTAGTTAATTTCTTTATTAGTAAAGTGCTTACTTAGTATTAATGTTCCTCCAATTATTAACTATAAAAATTCGCCATTTTTCATAAATATTATTCTAGAACTAATCAATAGAAATACTTATAATCTATGAATGATTTTATAACAAAATAAATAAGTCTATAAATTACTTTCCAGTTTAAGTGAATGTTATAAACAGTGTTACATACAGCAACTTTACTTGTAGTTTCACATAAAATATATATTGCAAGAATTACTATTGGAATTCACTGTATTTGAGGCACATTAGCAAGTTTTTCATTCAGTTTATTTTAAATATATAGTCTCGTTATTGCTTATAATATAATTTTAGAAATATCAATCACATTTTAATTATACAGTTACTATTATTAAAAGACTGTAAAAACTCCAAAACACTAAATCATATTTGGAGTTTTTAAAACAATTATTCCTATTTCAATCTTAATGACTATAATTCAACTTTAATAACTAATACTCTAGAATTACATACATACAATCAAATATTAATATTTAGCTAATATTTGTTCTAATGAGATTTTTTTCTATTTCCAGGATTTACTGGAGCTGATATTGCCAATGTATGCAATGAAGCAGCCCTGATAGCCGCAAGAGAATTAGCTAACGACATCACTATGAAAAACTTCGAACAAGCTATTGAAAGAGTTGTCGCTGGCATGGAAAAGAAATCCAATGTCTTACAACCTGATGAGAGGAAGATTGTAGCGTACCATGAAGCGGGTCACGCGGTTGCTGGCTGGTTTTTAAGACATGCCGACCCATTACTGAAGGTTTCCATCATACCTAGAGGCAAAGGTCTAGGTTACGCACAATACTTACCAAAAGAACAGTATTTGTACAGTAAGGAACAACTATTTGACAGAATGTGCATGACCCTGGGTGGCAGAGTTAGTGAAGAAATTTTCTTTGGCAGAATTACAACTGGTGCTCAGGATGATTTGAAGAAGATAACGCAGAGTGCCTACGCTCAGATTGTGCATTACGGTATGAACCCTAAAGTTGGTAATGTGTCATTCGAAATGCCCCAACCAGGCGAAATGGTTATCGATAAACCATATTCAGAGAAAACAGCGGAATTAATTGATTCAGAAGTAAGAGATTTGATCAACTCAGCCCACAAACATACAACCGATCTTTTGATTAAACACAAACCGAACATCGAAAAAGTTGCGGAGAGACTTTTGAAACAAGAGATATTAAGCAGAGACGACATGATTGAACTCTTAGGTCCAAGACCCTTCCCAGAGAAGAGTACTTATGAAGAATTTGTTGAAGGAACTGGATCGTTAGAAGAAGACACGACCTTGCCTGAGGGTTTAAAGAATTGGAACAAAGAGAAACAGCCAACCATACCTCCACCTCAATCTATACCAGGAGCAAGTAAAAATTAAGATACTGTATTGTAGTAGATTGTTGAGTTTATAGTCATTTTATGTGAAATAAATAGATTACCTTTAAGACTTAAAGGCTTTTTTTGTTATAATTATTGTTTGTATGACTAGTATTTTTGAAGTGCATTACGGACTCTCGAAACAGTATAAATATTTAACAAATCATTCGAACAACTCAATAGTAAAAGCATATTTTGTACAATTTTTCAAATGTACTGTGATGGCATTTTTATTTAATATACAGAGATTGTATGCTTCTTAATAAATAAATTCTTTTAACAATTGTCTATTTTTATAATACAGAGGATTAAATAACGTACCACATTTTCGAGTACCAATATATTTAATTGGCCACTGGCAGAAATCAAAAAAATTACATTTACCTCCCCTCTACGTAATTTATTTTGAAGGGCGAGCACTTTCACACATTCGCGTTTGTAGACGAGACGTCGCCAAAGTAATACGTGACCGTGCCTGTCCTGTACATAGATAAGAAGGAACAACTTCAACAAAAAAAAACAGGGTTATATTAAAATTATAATATGAAAATATTCAAATATTGACTGAATTTGCATCCAGCCTTCTTTCTGTTTATTTAAATATTCACTACCATTACTTTATACATCACCAATTTCTTAAGTAAATTCAGTTTTTTGTACAATATAAAAAGAATCTTATATTAAAATCTATGTTTACACGCGGGTTGTGTACAACACGCCCGCATTCTCATTAAACTTGATCTAACCGAGCGAACGAGAAATAAGAAATTTAACAAAATAATTAAAATTATGGTAATTATTACATGTACCTATTCTATTTTATGTTCAACATTTTATGTCAATATTCAATTATTATCTATACTTAATTCTATCCTATGATATAACATTATAAATGATGAAAAGGTATCTGCACGATATCATTCAACAATAATCCATTAACAATTCGAAATCCATTCACATCTATCAAACAGAAAATTAAAACTAATCTCAGTAACAACGAAACATACGACGGTCAATGACAGTCTCTGATTTTTTCTCCTTTTGGTTTCCGCCCCCTCTTTTTGCCGGAAGTGACGCCGGCGAGGACCATCGCAGCCCTCTTAGCGACGCACGATTTGCAAAACCAGTCTTCCGTGGCCCCCGGGTCTTCCGTTATGCCGACACAAATCCAATGGTACCACCCATCGCAGCCATCACAACCTATCATAGGCGAGCCATTGTCTGGCCTTCCACAAGCGGGACATACCCATATTTTATTTCCTTGTTCATCCACATAATATGGTGTTGGAAGTGGCCCAGTGGGTTTTTCCACAGAAACCGGTGCAGGCGCTTGCGGTTCATCCGATATCGTAGCCGGCTCGTCTTCGAAATCTTCGTTATTACCTTTTTTCGACAAAGGTTTTATCAAGATTCTTTTATATTTTGAATGACTTGAAGGTGGACGGTTCTTTCTTTGCGGCGAACCAGGTATAGGCGGAGGTGATTGTGATTCTAACGGCTCTGAAACATGATTGTGTTTAGAATGTCTTTGCTTTGGCGGCCTCGTTACTAATGCAGATATTTGGGCTAGTTCTGGGGACCGACTGTGCTCTCGTGATACTGATTCCTCTTTAACAGGAGAAGTCTCTTCCTCTTCTTTCTTTACAACAGGCTTTATATTTAGTTTATATACATCTGGAGAGCTGGGTGGCATCGGTGAATTTGAGTTGGAAGAAGCTAGTTTAAGGGTAAGTTTGGGCACGAGACCATCTGCGGACTTTTCTTTCTTTTTCTCCTTCTTTTCTTTCTTTATTCTATCTTTAATTTCCTGTCTCTCTTCCTTATCTTTTTTCTTTTCAGACCTATCTTTATTCTTGTCTTTTTTATCCTTCTTCTTTTTTATTTTAATGCCATCCTTATCTCGCTTTTCCTTTTTATGAGACTTGTCCTTCTTTTTCTCTATATTATCCAGGTCTTGAGAAATTTCCGGAGCAGTATGCTTGACTGGCGTCGGCTCAGGAATTGGGAGAGGTTCAGGTTTAGAAACAACGGCTTGTGGTTCTGGTGTAGGTATTCGAATTGGCGTTGGAATTTCTCTTGGTGGTTCAGGTCGAACTTCTTTAGGAGGATTCAATTCAATCGTTATATCCGGCTGTACAGGAGGCATTTTATATATACTTGACTTATGGTCCTTATTTGATTTAGATTTCTGTTTTTGTAAAATATTTGGAATGGTTGGAGATTTGTGCTTATCGTGACGATCTTTGTCGCGTCCCGTCATTGGTGATTTATGCATCATCCTATCTTCTTCGTTTTCAACAGGTATAACCTCTAAACTTGGACGTCTAAGCATTGGCGGTATTTTTACAGGAGACGATCGCGAAGAATGAGGAAAATTGCCCATCGGCATAAGATGATTGGGGATACCTGGGCCGAGACCACCTGGTAGAAAACTTGATCCTGGTATAAGTCCTGGTCCTCCTGCCCCTACGGCAAAAGGATTACCAAGGATATTTGGGGGTTGTAAACCTCTTAGTGCAGGGTTGTTAGTCAAACCAGCTAAAAAGTCCCCACCAGGTATTAAGCCATGACTAGGTATTAATCCCGGACCTGGCATCATTCCTCGCCCTGGTGGCATATTAGGAAAGAATGGAAAACCAGGTGGCATTTGTGGTAATTTTAAATCATTTTTAAGCCTATTAGACTTAACTGATTTTTCACTTTTAATTTTAGACTTTTTCTTTTCTACCATTGGCATCATTTCAAAGGCCAACTGTTGATGCTGTTTTTTGAGTTTTGCTTCTAATTTCGCTGCTTTATCTTTTTTATCTTTATGTTTCTTTTCCTTCTTCAATTTTGGACTGACACTAGCGATATCTTTGGGAAAAGGTACTTGTAATGATTTATTTATAGAAAGGCCAACTGATTTTGGCTCCGGGGATGTATTTCTAGAATGAGGCACTGGTTGAGCATCCAATGAATCATCATCAATGTTGATGATTTCGTGAGACCTAATATCTATTTCTCGGGACAAATCAACTGGACTGTTATTATTGTTCACATATTCAGCACTTTTAACTCGGTTTTCACTTATTTCATGTGATGAATTCTGCAACCTCGAAATTGTTGTGTCTGGCTGTGAAAATAACTTTTCAGGAACAACTTCTGGTGTATGCTTTTCTTCTTTAGATTTGTTCGATATTCTTTTAAATATATTAATCTTTGATCTATCTGGCTGAGATGCTAACTTTTCTTCTTCATCTATAACCTCTTTTTTGATTTGAACATCCGGAATAAGAGAAATTGTAGAAGATTGATGTTTATGAGCAGTTAAAGAATTGGAGACAAGCGGAGATTTTGAGATCGGTATTTTTTTAGGTACCGGAATTGAATCTTCTGTGGGTAGAGAGGGCCGAGGTGTGACAGGTGATGGTGGATCAATTGGTTCCTGTTTTATAACTGGCCTGATAGGTTCTTGTATTGTAACGGGTTGTGGGGTCGGTATAGGTATAGATGGTGGTGGCATTGTCGGTTTTATAGGTGCTTGTAAAGGCCTTGGCGCAGGCATTGTCACGTGATTATGATGCGTCGGATGAACGTCTTTACTTTTTATCGGATATCCCGGAGGATACCTATCCAATTTACTACTATCTTTAGATTTACTACCCTCACCTTTATGACTCTTATCTTTTCTTTTACTTTTCATAATTTTTCCATTAATTAACTTATTCTTCTTAGATTTCTTATCAATTTTATCTAACATTGGTACTTTAATTGCATTTGAATGGTGCGAATTCACTTTATGCTTGTCATGATGTCTTTCAGAAATAATAGTGGGAGGCTTAGCTTCTGGTAATTTACCTTCTCTAGCCGGTGATAGAAAACCTGACATAGTCATCATAACACTGCTAATTTCCCTTGTCCTTTCCTCTTCATCCAGCCGTAACCTTGGTCTTTTACTATTTGGTAATGAAACTGGATCGATAGGCCTCTTAAATATATCTTTAGGTTTCTCTGGACTGTCAGTGACAGATATTTCAGGACTTGTACAGGACACATTAGCATCAACATTATCGATACCATTTTGTCGAATTTCAACCGTTCCTGCAACAACAGGTGTATCTCTTTCTTTCTCTGGGTACATAGGAGGCAAGTGCTCATGCACATGCATAGGTCTTGTAACTACCTCATAACTGCCAGGTTTAAGGAAATTTAAATTAGATTCTTTAGGTTTTGGGAACCTTTCTGTTTTAACGGGTGGTGGGACGGGCGGCACAGATCTAGTATACTCTCCTAATTCTGGCAATTGGATGTGAAGGTCACGGAACACTAACCCTAGGTCATTTAAGTTTGGTTCAGTCCTATTAAATTGTTCGGCGTATCGGTTAGCTTGAGTGCCCAAAGTACAAATGTACTTTTCCAAAACATGTACTAAAATGTCGAGTGGCGTAGAGTTTATCCCATTCCATCCTATAGTTTGGCATACTTGGGCAACATTCCTCCGTAATATCTCTCGGGCGTACGCCTCTGACATTATGACACCAACAAAGTTATCTGGAACAAACGTATAAATTAAGATTAAAGCGAAAAAAACACCTTCAAATAATGTTAGCGTAAATTGCTGATCATAACTCACAAATTCACTATGAAAACATTAAACTGTACATACGATAGAACACTTAAAACAGCAAATCTCATGATTTTCATACCTGCAAGTGTCTAGTAGTACAGAGACAATATCCCAAACAGGTGAATACTTCAAGTTTGGAACAACCATGTATGCTTTGCTACAATATTCAAAATTCACGGATAAATTATTATAACACATTTAGGGTTTACGATGCAAAGTAACGAAGTGTTTACGTAAAAACTTCTCAGCATTCTACAAACACAGTGCCCCGTGCGCCATGATTGCATTTTGGGTTGTCAATGTTTAGTGTTGCAAGAGAATAATAAATATAATGGCGGTCAATTATAGTCTCGTTCACTGAAAAGTATTTTTATGAGTTATGGACTGGACAACAAATCGCACAAGTTTGTATTTTTATGACCAAATATTTTTAGGGTATAACAATTAGAAACTTATCAAGTTAATTATAATGATCAACAGTTCAAAATAAGATTATTTAACATTTTTAGTTAATTAAGTCATTAAGGTAAGATTAAGTAAATACATAATTAAATTTAATATAATTTAGTAATCTATTTCGTTATTTGTTGTAAAATATGAATTAAATTAGTTATATAAACAATCGTATTCATTATCATTCATATAACAGCTTAGTCAAAACAAATGCTATCGAACCAAGTTTCTTAATTTCTACCCTGGTTATTTAGATGAATTGTTTGGTTAAATAATAAATGTTAACGGGATGACATCAATTAGCTTGAAAGCTTCTTAACTTTTAATTAATTTGATTCATATATTGAAGTATTATGAATATTATTGAATAAAATAAATGTCTTGACGTCTTCATGAAAACATCTTTATGAAAGCAATATTTTGCTTCCACTTAAGAGTTTTCGATATTGTTCTCTACTTTTACCTTTTTAATATATATTTTAAAAGTTTTAAATATACATAGTAACACTAAATTTCGCTGTCCCAATGTAATGACACTATGTCAAACAAAACCGCAAATGGTAGTCTGACGATGTGCTTTTCGTTGTAGCAATTTTCGTAAATAAGTTTACTATTTAAACTTATAACACAGAATAGTGTGAAATTAAAAAAGTGCATTTATTTGCTCAAAAACTGTCATATTTTTTACTAAAACACATAAAAGGTACGTGATACGTTTTGTCCTTTAGAAGCTGGGCTGAAATAAAAGGACATTGTATGAAAACTAAAAAAATGACCACATCGTCAGAGGACGTTCTTTTGAGTGTAGGACATGTAAGATATAAAAAGGGCGATGGCACTTTGTATGTTATGAACCAAAGATTGGCTTGGATGCTTGAGAACAGGGACACTGTAGCTGTGTCTCACAAGTATGCAGATATAAAAAGTAAGTTACATTTCAGACATATATTATGAAGGTTTACTACTATGTCTGTAATATTATGATATAAAAAATAGTTTTATGGATTACCAAATCTGAATTCACAATTTTATTTCTATACACTGTATTGTGTAATATACATTACAATCTTACAACAACCTTTGAGCACATTTTTCTTAACTTGTATAGTATTTTATCATCTGTGAAAGGTTAATATTTTCTTATATACTTTCAGCTCAAAAAATCTCACCGGCTGGTAAACCAAAAGTTCAACTACAAGTGGTGTTACATGATGGGGCGTGTTCAACATTTCATTTTGTCAATCCCGCCGGGGCAGAGGCGCAGGCTAAAGACAGGGACCAAGTTAAAATGTTATTACAGAATCTATTACCCAAGTTCAAGAGACAGATAGATGGAGAATTGGAAATGAAATCTAAGTATGCTTCTTATTTTTATTTATAAAACTTATCTTAGTTATATGTAAAAAGTTTGCAAATACAGTGTAAACTCCATATAACGACACTCGATTTAACGACAAACTCTCTAAAGCGTCGAAATCATTTGACTTTGGTTGGTTTGGCTTGTCTACCATACAATGATACACTCTATATAGCCTCACCGCCACTCTCAATAACGACAAAATTAAGTAATAAAAAGTACCCTTTAAGTTGCTAAAATTAGTAAAATGCGCAGCTGTGTACGTTTTTTTGTCACTTTGTTATCCTAGCCCGCAATAAACTCCACTGTCGTAATCATGCATACCAAACTTTCTAAGAAATTCGTTCTTCACCAATATGCCTCAATATCGCAAGATATGAATAAAATACGTAAAAAATACAACAACATTACTGGTGCAGCAAAACACGTCAAACAAAAACAACAGACTTTATAACATTCTTTTTTATGTACATAAGCACTAACAGTAGTCTGAAACAAACTTTGTCTTTTTCTAATTCTGATTTTTCTTCCCTCTATTTAACGGCAACTCTCTATAACGCACTAAAATGCACGGTCCCTTCAGTGTCGTTATATAGAGTTTACACTGTATGTTAAATATTTTAACCTCTTATAAGTTAGAAGCGATATTTTCACCACAATGATTTTATTTTTCATTAAACCAATATTTCTTCCACTGGTCGTATTTTTATTCAGGCAAATTTTATGATTGTCAATAGACAATGACAATGAAAGGTTTGACAAATATATATTTATATGTATGTACATATATACATATGTTTTTACTTATATTATATACCCTTAACCATCACTAAGTTTGTTTTTCCACTGTCCACTCCTTATGACCGTTAAAGGGTTAAAAGTATTAAAAATAAAATACAAATACTTATGAAATTTTTTTATTACCTATTATGTAAATTTTCACAATATTATTATGCTTCCAGGCTACTGTCATTACATCCCACATTAAAGCATTTATATGAAGATTTAGTTATATCGAAAGTTATAAATAGTGAAGAGTATTGGAATACGCCGACATTGAAACATTACACAGAATCAACTAACATGAAACAAGAGGCCGGTGAGATATTTGTTTAATGTATTTATTGAAGTCAATAGGTAATATATATTTTATAACATATTTTTGATGCAATCTATACACTCAATACACTTTGCCAATACAAAAGATTGAGTTATACGAGTCGAAGATTCATATTTAATGTATATTCTTTGTTGTAGGTGTCTCTGGAGCATTTTTAGCCGATATACAACCTCAGACTGATGGATGTAATGGCCTTAAGTATAACTTGACCCAAGATATTATAGACGCGATATTCAAAACATATCCGGCAGTTAGGAAGAAACATGTGGATTATGTGCCAAACAAGATGACTGAGGCCGAGTTCTGGACTAAATTCTTTCAATCGCATTACTTTCACAGGTTTGTTGAGATTTATTGTTGATATTGAAATGCGAAGGTTTTGATTGTACAAGTAAATGATGTGTTATGTTACAATTTTCACAATTAATGGTGGTTTTTATCATTTTGTTGTTGCCAAAGATTTAGATACCCCTGTATGACATCAATCCCATCTCAATCTAATAAAAAATTGTGAAATGCCTAATATCTAATTCTAAATGTTATATGTCATATTCTTAATGCTTTTGCAACAATGGGTGCCACAAGCTTTACATCTTGGAAACTATTGAACTCAACAAAATTTTTGGCAAAATTTTTCTTTATAACTACCAACAATGTTACAGTCATGTGAATCTTTATACATATTATATGAAAGTAATTTTTGACCTTGTCCCGTCAAATTTAATATAGGCCCTACCAAATTTTGATAGAGCCTCATAAAAGACAAGGTAAACCCCATAATTGCTTATACCTATATCCATTGAATTGAACACATGTTATGTAAAATAAAAAAACCAGTAATAAAGATGCTTGCCTCCGTAATTGATATAAACCATTATAAATTTATTAAGATAATAAGCAATTATAAAATTCCCAAGAAATAAACATTCACAATAATAATTATATTATCAGTTTTTATCTGCATATAGTGTAGTTTATTTAAACTTAAAAAAACTTTAATGATTCGATCTCCTAATGTTTGTAAACATTTGAATAATTGTGTTATATTGGTCTAATAATTTGGTCCTTAATTTCGCGTGGCAAGCTATAGCCTCCATAGCTCAGGGGTTAGAGCACTTGTCTTGTAAACAAGGGGTCGAGAGTTCGAATCTCTCTGGAGGCAAGGAACATTTTTTGAGTTTATATTTTTATGTCGTTATAGAGTGCTGATTATACATTTATAACGACTATTTTTATATTCCAGTTTCCACAATTATTTTAGATTTCATACAACAATTTCTTTTTCTTGTAATATGTAATATGCTTCACCGAGTAGATCTTACATTACGCGTTATACTTATAATGTTTAATGCTTCCGACCTTTTTGAGATATAATTATGTCACCCTTGCGGATTTTCGTTCTTTAATATGTGTCATATGCTCTATAATTATATGTTTAATTTTAAAAATACTACTTGTTCTTTCTCGTTTTGCTCTCAAGAATAGTAGAGGGAATTTATATAACTTATATTTATTCAGACAATTTACTTTGTCACGAAAATCCCATTCCAATAGATTCCATTAAAATAGTTCAATAAATTATGCGAAAATAGAAACCTTCAATAAGTTTCAGGTTTTTGGTTACATGTCAATAATACATATCTTTAGATCTTTCTACTTTGGATTTTTTTTATTTAAAATGCTCATAATTTATTTATTATATTTTATTAATATGTTATGGTACAACTTTAGGTTTTTAATGAAAGGCTCACTTGCTTAGATTTGTCTTCAATCGTTTGCCGAAACTTTACATTGAAACTAAATATTTTAATAAATTTTACATTATAATATGTAACGTGTTGAACTAGAGATATACAGGGTGACTGGTGAATTACTATCAATATTTAAGGAGAATACTCGGTACATGATTCTCATTCGAATTATGTATAAAAATAGGTACTTAATTTTTGACAAAATTTCCGTATAAATAAATAAAGTGTGGACACGTTCCAAGTGTTCCAAGTGTGGACGCGTGCGGCGGCGTGCTGATACAACAACACGCCGCCGCGCGCGTATGTGTGTTTGAGTGTATACCTAATCTGTAGGGTGTGCACACGATGCGTAATTAATTACATAACTTTTGGTTAACTTTACTTAGAAGTTTATTAATATTTATGTTATATTAATTTTTATTTTGTCATATATGATCGTCAAATATCACGTCCTCAAGTATCGATAGTAATTCACCAGTCACCCTGTATATCTCTCAAATATCATGTCCATACATTCTATTCATTTAAAATGATTTGCAATTTTCAAAATCATAGTTGAGACATTAAAAATTTACCTTATATATTACATCTAAATCAATATTATATATTATGTAGACCAACATCTCCTTAACCAGGTACAGAATTTTGTTGTATCCAATGAGAAATTTCATCTATATTTTAATAGAGTATTTATCTAATATAAACAAAATTATTTCAGAATTATTTTAAGTGATAACAAACAAACAGATTAGCTAATAATATTGTTATTTTTACTTCCAGAGATCGTATAATGTCATCATCTAGTAAGGACTTATTTGGGGAGTGCGCTAAACTTGATGACCAAGCGATTGCGTCCGCTATGAAACACACAACCTTGGATTTAACTGTATGTTATATGTAGACAAGAATTATTCGTTTATTAACCTAACCTAACAGTCTAAGGGAGCGTTCAAGTATTACGTAACGCAATTTTCGAGGATTTTTGACCTCCCCTTCCAACCTCGTAACGCACAGTAACGTTTTTCTGTAACCCCCTCCCCCTTATCAAAACTTTACGTAACACTCAAGTGATCAATTTCATCCAAAGTCGTCAAACAATATGTAATAGTTTGGTATAGTTTTAATCTATTAAATGAAAAAAGATCATTGACACAAATCTCCCTCTTCTGAAGAAAAATTCAGTATGAAAACTATGAACTCACGGATAAACACTAACGAATACTGACCACGGAAGCAACATTAAAAGACTTACAATGCAATCTAGGTATTCCAAGTAAAATATCAATTAAGAGGTTTGCAAACTTGGAATAACAAATAAACATGTCGACCAGACTAATACAATCTGATCAACATAACGTAACGTATATGAAAAGAGTTGCCAGTTTGGGGGTTTTTATTAATATTTTTTTTTAGAAACAATGCTACGTAACGTTTTGTAAGAGACACCCCCTCCCGCCTCTATAACGCATCGTAACGTTTTACGAGACCCCCCACCCCCAAAATTGCGTTACGTAATACTTGAACGCTCCCTAACCTAACTGATTCTAAACTATTTATCATTGTTAAAGGTGGATCTACCCTCATTCAAAGAACCAATCCCTCTCTTACCCGACGATGAAACACACGAAAAGGAAAAAGATGGTACATCGATACACAGGAACATGATAAAAAGATTCAACCAACACTCCATAATGGTACTATTATTTCACAGATATTTATTATTTAAAAAATATATATCTATACTAATATTATAAAGCTGAAGAGTTTGTTTGTTTGTTTGAAAGCGCTAATCTCCGAAACTACTGGTTCGAATTGAATTCTTTTTGTGTTGGATAGTCCAGTTATCGGGAAAGGCTGTGGGCTATATAACATCACGCTACGACCAATAGGAGCAAAGATATAGTGGTAAATGTGTACAAAACGGGAGAAATTATTTCATCTTTGAAGCCTTCCGTTGCGTGCGCCGTGAAAACGGTTCAAGATACACAAAAAATATGTATTAAAGAAAAATAGCTCTTTTAATGATCTAAAAAACAGTCCGCGACAGTATATGTCTATCTTTTTTTTTTTTTTTTTTTTTTTTTTTTTTTTTTATGGCCCTAAGGGGCAAGCGAGCAGACGGCCTACCTGATGGTAAGTAGGTGCCGTCGCCCATGGACATCTCCAACACAAGGGGTGTTGTTGATGCGTTGCCGGCCTTGTTTGGAAAGGAGAAACCTGAACACGTGATGTTTAAAAGACCCCATGTTGTAGCTCTCTGGAAAAGCCTCGGGCGGAAGATCATTCCACATCCTGCACGTGCGTGAAAAAAATGAACGCGACGCACGTACAGTCTTGCAATTGAATGCATCCAGGTGATGTGGATGAAATCCGACCCTACGCCGAGTAGTGCGATGGTGGAATGTGGAAGATGGCACTACATCAAACAGTTCCTCGGAACATTCCCCATTGTACAGACGATAGAATACACAAAGGGAGCTTACATCCCTTCGGAGGCTTAAAGGTTCTAGATCGTCTGTGAGCATGGGATCGTTGACAATACGAACTGCCCGACGTTGTATGGAGTCAAGTGGAAGAAGTTGGTACTGTGGGGCACCGGACCAGAGGTGAGAACAATACTCCATGTGGGGACGAACCTGTGCTTTATATAATAAAAGCAAGTGTCCCGGTGTGAAGTACTGCCTCGCTCTACTCAGTACCCCTAGTTTTTTAGACGCTAATTTAGCCTTGTCCTCCAAATGTCTCCGGAATTGAACGTCGTTCGCTATGTCAACCCCAAGGATCCCAATGCTCTGTCTGATCTTAAGGGGAATGTCCTGGAACGTTGGAGCTACAGTAAATGGGGTCTTTTTAGTGGTAAACGCGCAAACTTGTGTCTTCTTGGGATTAAACTGAACCAGATTCAGCTTACCCCATTCGGAGACCTGCTCCAGGGAGGTCTCAATTTCAGACACAAGTCTCTTTCTGCTCTCTTCTACTTGGTCACGAGGAATATTAGCTCGGCCCATGTAGTAAGCGTCACCAGTACTGTCATCTGCATAGCACCGAATGTTGCTGGTTCGCAGCATATCGTTGATATGCAGAATGAACAGTGTTGGTGATAGCACTGAGCCTTGTGGGACGCCAGCGTTGATGGGCTTGGGTTCCGAGCAAGAACCGTCTACAACGACCTGTATGCTCCGCCCATCGAGGAAGCTGGCTATCCAGTTGCATAATTCCTCGGATAGTCCGTACGATGGTAGCTTCGATAGAAGTGCGCGATGCCAGACCCGATCAAAGGCCTTCGCGATGTCTAGGCTGACTGCCATGGCCTCCCCTTTGCTCTCAATGGCTTCAGCCCATCGATACGTGAGGTATACTAGAAGATCACCAGCGCTTCGGCCGTGGCGAAAACCATACTGACGGTCACTAATAAGCTGGTTATCCTCTAGATAACCCAAAAGTTGCGTATTGATGATTCGCTCCATCACCTTTGAGAGTAGGGAAGTAATCGCAATAGGCCTGTAATTGGATGGATCTGTGCTGTCACCCTTCTTGGGAATAGGGTGGACATTGGCCACTTTCCACGAAGACGGTACTATACCAGTAGTATAAGAGAGTGAGAATAGGCGCGTTAAAACCGAAGTCAATTCAGGAGCACACATCTTTAGCACAATGGCTGGGATACCATCTGGGCCGCTGGATTTCTTGACGTCGAGGGACGATAGGGCGGCACGCACAGCGCTCTGCGTAAAACGCACATTGCGCATAGTTTCTCGGCACCGTGGGATGGTAGGTGGTGCTTTTCCCTCGTCGTCAAGGGTCGAATTCGACGCAAAAAGAGTGCACAAAAGGTCAGCCTTCTCTTTTGCGGAATGAGCCAGCGTCCCGTCAGGATTGTGCAAGGATGGTAGAGAGGACTTACAAAAATTGCCTTGTACCGCTTTGGCGAGAGACCAAAAAGAACGAGTTCCCGAGGGAACGTCTAGTAGTCTCTCTCCAATTCTGCGTACGTGCTCCTTTTTTGCTCTGGCGATCTCCTTTTTGCAAGACCTGGAAGCAGCATTATAACCCTTTTTCAATTCGGACAATTTTGGATCCTTCGCAGCTGATGCCGCAGCCCATAATCGGTACTTCAACTGTTTCGAGCGTAACGCTCCTGTACAGGATTTATCAAACCAGGGCCGCGACTTACCCCCCGTGCGAATAACAGAGCTGGGAATGAAATATTCCATTCCCTGCAGAATAGTATCCGCAACGGCGTTCGCGCAGATCGAAGGATCTTCCGAAGAAAAACAAAGCTGCCTCCAGGGGTAGGATGCGTAATATTCTCGCAAACCATCCCAATCTGCTGACTTGTAGTGCCATACAAGACGTCTCCCTGGTGGACGAGGAGTCGTTTTTTGCACTGTTTGAGCCTCGGAGTGTACCAGGCAGTGGTCAGATGACCCAAGGGGTGCATTGACGGACACCATGTAGCGATCCGGGCGAGTGGTCAGCAGAAGGTCCAACAAAGAGGGGTTATGGTCCTCAACATCAGGGATCCGAGTGTGTTCTGGAACTACCTGAGTTAACCCATAAGCCAGAGCAAAGTTATTTGCGGTTTTACCAGCGTAGTCTGTGGTACGTGATCCTAACCATTCGCAATGGTGGGCGTTAAAGTCGCCAAGGATCACTACCTCCGCGCTGGGATACCGCTGGAGAACAAATTCTGTAGCCTCCTGGATGTGTCCAAAAAGACGATCGACTTCGGTGTTACCACTATGGGACCTATACAGGCACGCGTAGATACGGCTTGAGCTACCGTTGTCCACTCGCACCCACATCACTGATAGGTCCCTATGTTCGAGGCTGTCAAGACGTTGACAACAAATATCTTCCTTGACGTATAAGCACACCCCGGCCCGCGGTAGAAATAGGTGCTCAAGTCTGTAACCGGGGTAATGCAGATACGAGGTATCTAGGGGAGTGGATATTTGTGTTTCAGTCAAAAATAACAAGGCCGGCTTAGCCGTCTCTAGGTGGTGATGGACAGCATTAAGATTGGAGTGAATACCCCTTATGTTGCAAAAGTCCATTACAAACGTGGAAGGGGTCGCCGCTGTAGAGACCTTTATTACCTTTTTTTTGACAGCCATATTATTATTTTTTTTTGGTTCAGGAAGTGGGAGTGAAGGAAGGATGCTGATAGCCTATCAACTATCCTGTCAATGAACATTGCCATTGATCTGTTTTGAGCGTAGAGTTTTGTGTGTTACTGGCATGGGGCACGGAAGGGCCCCCGATCCGACCCGCGGTTGCAAACTGGGTTCCACCCCGGTCTCCCACTCCGGCACAGTCAACAACCGACGGGCTTTTGACATTGGCGGTGGGACAGCCTCCTAGATCGGGACAGTCTAGGTTCGGGTCCCCTACGGACCAACGGGCGGCCAGCGGTAAACCGTTTCATCGGGTCTCCCTGGACCCCATGCCAATGAAACACGCTCAACATCTCAAAACAGACTTCGACTAATGTAGGACAGAAAGTCAACAGACACATCAACATCCCGGGAGAGGGAAGGGTGGGGAAAGGAAAGGGCAACCGGCTCTCCCACTCATCAGACGAAACGCAGCCATTGAAGGCTACTTCACGCCGATATTCTGTGGGAGGGTGGTACTTCCCCGGTCGAGCCAGCCCATGTTCGAACTGTAGTGACCTACCACAGTTAGGCTCTACCACCTCTAAAATCTTTTAAGATTATCTCACAAAAACCGTTTTTATGGTACCTAATTTGGTCGAAATAATTTGTTTAAGTTGTATCAACATAATAATATTAATCTTTATTCAAATAAACAAATAAATAAGTTGTTGGTTAATAGTATTTCATTGTGAATAAAAAAAACATAGGTTTTATCCTGAAAATTCTACGGGAACTTCGACCATTCCGAAAACCCCGCAAGAACGGGAACTATGTGGGAAGAACCAAAAATCTGCCGGAAGTCACTATTCCACGCGGACGAAGACGCGGCAAAAGTAGTTATTTATTAAAATTGTATTAATTTCAATTTCAGGTGCTAAAAGCTAGTCATAAAAATTCCAATAGCAGTAGTAGTAAAACAAATAAAGTCGAGAATGGTATGAAAGAAACGAACGGCGTCGAAAAAAGGCCGAGTGCAGACAAAGATGTAACAGAACCGGTTGATAAGAAACGAAGAATTATGGAGAAAATACACTACGAGGACTTAGATAATGTTGATAATAATGAAGATACTCAGGAATTAAAACTGTCAAAGGTATATCATATAGTGTGTACCCAGCCTTATAAATGCGAAATAATTTTAGTAAAGATGCATATATCATGTATGTTTGTTATACATTCGATAAAAATACTCAACGGATTTTGATGAAACTTTATAATAATGTAAGTCACATATAAGAATAAAATATAAGCTACAATTTATCCTAACATTCCGTGTAGTTGTAACAAGATCGAAGTTTGATATTTAGTATTTACATTTTGTATTAAGTTACGCGACGGAGTTTATAGTCTGTAAATATACATTTCTTTAACACACTAAATATGTTTCCGTGGGCCTAATACCTAAGCCCCCAAAGACAACATCGCGAGCAAAAATATATATGTTATCTGTTTAAAGATATTTAATTAATTATTACACATATAATACGAGCAAACGTCTTTTAAGTGTTATATATACATGTACATAATTTGTGTAAAAGAGATTACTTTTACTCAAACACCACCTTTCTACAATACAACTTCATTTCTAAATCTCATACTTTCATAAACAAAAGTCTTAATAAACTAATTAAGCTATTAATACGTGAATTATAATTAGAATAAGTATTTCAAACAGTATATTTCAATAGTGTTATCTGAAAATAACAATACATATATTTATTCTCTTGCAGGTAGAAAGATATCTATTAGGTCCGGCATCTCAAGTGAGTCACACTGCATCCACTTCAAATAATCCCCCACCGCTGTCTGCATTGGCATCTGTCTGTCAGGTATAAAAAAGTATATATCATGATATATATAACCTCATTATTAAATACCTCATTATATTATATACTTACTGGAAGACCCGGCGAACTTCGTATCGCACTATAATCATATATCTGTTACGTTTTTTTTAATAAATAAATTTAAGTTATAACTTTTCCTCAGAAACTCGTGGTGGTTATGCTATTATTAAATAGTCGCTCATATATGATCATTGTATTTTTAACATAACGCCATCTATTGAATACTTAACTCAGTCAACAGATAATTGTAGTAATGACAAATAATTTGCTATAAAATAATATTGTGACTATAAATTGAGATATAAGCTATCCGATCTTTCAAGTTGGATCAAAATGCATACAGAATGCAAATCAAATTTAAAATCAGTTTAGTAGTTAAGGATTCCATCGCGGACAAACAGGTGATACGAAATTTTTATACTATATATAAAAGATATGTAAATTGATTATGTCTTACAAATGAAGGTAGGAAGTTCATTGAATAGAGATTATTTTAGTAAATTAAATTAATTGGATTGAGTATTGAGAGAATGTCAGTAGAAGAATTAATTGTAAATTATATGGTTGTGATATTGTATTTAATAAATAATATACATTTATATTTGGAAATGTTGTATATGAGAAGAGTTTGTTTGTTGGTTCTAGAAAAAGACCAAATTCTTTATGGGATGGATATTACATCAAAATAAATTATTTATAATTAGAAATACATGTAAATCGTAATCTTAGATTTACTTAAATTATTATATAATTTTATAGTTTATTGTAACTCAGCATGGAACAGAAAATTACACTTTATGCTTTGAAAACGAAATTGTTTATATAATTTATCACGTCTCATTGTCCCTACCACATATGTAAATCTATATGCGTACCAAATTGCATCATCAAACTGAATAGGGATTTTTATGAATTCCAATTATGTGTATAATCACTGATCAGTATTCATAAAACAAATTCGAATAGTAGTTAGGTGATCTTTAACCTACACCTGGGTCGCAAGTCCCAAGAACTGTTGAAGCTCCTCTCTCTACAACGATGGACCCGACACACGCACCATGAATACATGGAATGCTGAGAAGTTTCTTATATATATGTATCCTACTAATATTATAATTGCGAAAGTTTGTGAGTTTGTGTATCTTTGTTACTTCTTCACGTTCAAACGACTGATTTTGATAAAGTTTTGTATACAGGAAGCTAACGTTCACGAATAACTCATAGGCTACTTTACATCCCGGAAATCCCGTAAATCCGCGAGTAACAGCTAGTATTTATATAAATAAATAAATATATTAAATGGTTTAATATTTTATTTTACAGGCGTGGAGTAGCGGTCAACAGTGTAGTCGCCCGGTGCGTGTTAGCGCGGCGGCCGCTGTGGGCGCTTTGGGAGAATTGAGTCCGGGAGGAGCTTTGATGAGGCAACACCACGCGGCTAGCATGGCGCGTTAGTATATATATTTTTTATGACAAAGATCGCAAACGAGCAGATGACCTAATTAATGGATAATGGCGTCGGACATGGACATATATATGATATATGTAGTCACTTGACCACAGCTATGCTCTACCACCTATAAAGTATATATTACACAATAACATATCAAAAGTATCTGTATGAATGTGAATTATTTTAAGAGTAACTAAGTAATATTAAGTTAAATATCATTTCAAAATATATTTAAAAAAGTCATTAATACGAGCATTAGTTGAACCTGCAACCTCCGAAACATAGTTAAAGATGATTATAAAACTAAGCAATCGTTTCTTTATTCAAGATATCACCTAATCGAGGAAAATTCGGTGTATTTTTCACTATATATTTTCTATTTGAATGTTGTTTACATTCATAATGATCACTGAGTGACATATGCAATGTGATGTATAAGCTCGACCCAACCATTCATACATGACCTCCGCCCATATAGTTTTGACCAAACCATCAATACTTGACCTCCCCCACATAAGCTCGACCAAACCAATATTACTTGATCTCCCATATAAGTTTGACCAACCATTAATACTTGACCTCTCTTCAGAGCTGGTTCCGCCGGCCGCTCGCCAGGAGCTCCAGCGTCTATACCTGTCGTGTGGCGAGCTTCTTCGTGAACTGTGGCGTTGCTTCCCTCAGCCGGGCGCGCCTCCAGATGACGACGCTGGAACCAGGGCAGAGAGGTTCTACGACGCTATCATGAGGTTCAGGAACCTTAAACTTAGGCCGTTTGAGGTGGGTTCCAGGTTATATGGGTATAATGAGATCTAAGATCAGTCAATAGTGGCCCAGTGGTTAAAGGGCCCGCCTCTCGTCGCTGAGGGCGCGGGTTCTATCCTGGCCCGGGCAAGTACCATTGTAGTTTTTCCGAATCATATGTACTTTCTAAGAATATTTAGACATCACTGATTAATGTTGATTCCCAAAAGAGGGTTGATGTCAGACAGGCGGCCGGTCGTAAAAACAAATAGCCAAAACCATTCACAACATTTAAGGCAGACCCTGGCTATAGCCGGGAAATTGCCAGGTAGAAGAAGATAGATATATAATGAGATCTAAGATTTTCGCGAATTTAATACATTTAAATGAAACGAATATTTTTCGGATTATACTATGCGACTTTATTTTTTGTAAATAAACTACATACTTCCGACGTTTCGGCTAGTTTATAGCAACCGTGATCACTTGCAGACGAGATGCGAATGTTCAAACATTGCTAAACATGGGAGTATCTAGTTTTTTTACAAAAATAACGTCGCGTCGTATAATCCGAAAAATATTAGTTTCATTTAAATATATGGGTATATATTATTCTGATTATATGCATTCTCGTTGTGTGACAGTGGCGTGGAAACCACAGATGCAATAAACACTAGTTACCCTACCCATACATAAACTAAACCTATATTGTTTAATTCTTACTTACATACTTAAATCATATTATGAAATACGAATATTTACAGATATTTAATATGAGATTTGATTTACGATTCGGTAAAATTATTAAAAGCGCCATCTATCAACGTAAAAAATAACTTTCAATGGTCGCGGCTAGCGCTGCTTCAAAGCCAATGCACAACTACTTGGTGCATATATTCCATACAAATAATCTCAGTCTGCAATTCTAATGTTGTATACAGAAAATGTGTGCATGTATGTATGTGTGTGTCTACAAAAACCATGCATGTGTTATGGTTAAAGAGGCACTGCTTCTTTAACCATATTCTTTTAAAATGTCATAGAAACTGAGTTTATTGTCAAATGAAAAGGGACTATTTAATTTGTATTGTCAAATTTTATTATAAAGTCCTCATTTTTGAATTCTTAAAGTGCAAATCATGAAGCTAAAGTACATTGATTTTTTTTATATACTGTATAATATATATTTGAATTAAATTATTTCAGGAAAAAATGCTACGTGATTTAACACCGTTGGCGTCGTCATTAACAAGGCATATGAATCAAATGATTGAAACAGCCTGCGCCAAATACGCTGTTTGGCAACAGAGACAAGCAAAACTTCGGTAGTACTGGAATTGACCGTTCCGGTTATTATAAGAAAAATCAAAAATTATCTGCGACTACTACATATGATATACGAAAGATAAAAATATCAAAAAAAAATCCTGTTATTGGTGTCCATTGAATACCGTAGCCAAATTACAAAAGTTATCTTAATATCATGAAAATGTTTAAAATTTTTGTTTATTTTACTATTAATGATAAAATGATTAAAACTGGGTTCAATACTGTGTGAGTGAGACAAAAACAATTCAAATTTATATGAAACAGTGACTGATACATCACTACATTTATACTGCCAATATACATTTTTAGTTAAACATAGAATATAAAAAATAAACAGATTATATATGATATATTCGAATTGTATTAAAACGTTGCTTGTTTATGTCAAATGTAAAAAAACAATGTACATATAGGTTTTTTGTATGAATCTTTATCAGAATAACACAAATTAATACTAAGTTAGTAACAAAAGGCATTTCGAATACACCAAATGTATATTGTTTTAGTTATAATATCAGAATCCTCCGTTCACATACAACATATATTTATTGTTATTTAATTAATTTATATTATCATGGAACCAGCCATTTATAATTTATCTGTGAGTCCAAATATTTTTTCACCCGCCAATTAAAATGTAATAACCCAAAAATGGGTAATACTTAATTCCTAACGACAATAATAATCGTTCTAAATTATTTTGATATCAGACTAAGTTAAAAAATTCTTTAGTTTGTAATTTTTGTTTATTTCTAAGCAATAGTTAATACATTGAAATGGTATTGTTACAAAATTAAAGCAATATTTGTTATAGAACTTACCACGATATTGACAGCTCATAAATAATAAAACTTAGTTAGGATATAAAATTAAGTGACAATAAAACAATGTGTGTATTAAATTGTCGACATAATTTAAAGATCTATTCTTTGATATTTCATTAATTCGTTTGTTCTTTCTTACCATATCGGTTCTTAATATCGTGGTTTGTAAATTAAATTGCTCTTCATACACATTATATTGAAGAGACTGCTTATTCCTCAAATAGGGTAATGTGTAAATAAATAAAACAGTATTTTTATTTGCTATTTCATTTCAATCCCTTATATTTTATTAAATAATTCCAAGTCAGTATATATTTACTTGATTATTTTTGTCTTCGGACTTTATATGGTTTATCAATTTGCCCTCATTATTAAATGTGAATTAAAAATGAATAATAAAAAAAAAGAGTTTTAAATAAATTCACATTCTTTTTTTTGCTTAAATTTTCTAAGAGTTTTTCGACTTATACAGGGTGACTGGTGAATTACTATCGATATTTGAGGACGTGATATTTGACGATCATATATGACAAAATAAAAATTAATATAACATAAATATTAATAAACTTCTAAGTAAAGTTAACCAAAAGTTGTGTAATTAATTACGCATCGTATGAACACCCTACAGATTAGGTATACACTGACACTCACACATACGCGTGTCGTGACGTGGTGTTGTATCAGCACGCCGCCGCACGCGTCCACACTTGAACACTTGGAACGTGTCAACACTTTATTTATTTATAGGGAAATTTTGTCAAAAATTAAGTACCTATTTTTTTTACATAATTGGAATTAGAATCATGTACCGAGTATTCTCCTTAAATATTGATAGTAATTCACCAGTCACCCTGTATATTACAAAGTAGAGATTTATATGAAAGGCACGCCGTAACCATTGGTAATATGACACCACTAATGATTTAAATTAGTTGGTCACGTAGTTAAGATATATATCAGTCTTCTCTATTGATTCGACTTTTTTTAAATATTAAATAGATATTGGAACTAAAATCGTTTGGAAAGCGAATAACTTTCCAAATAATTTCCGTTTAACCAAATCCGGAAGAAGTTTGATTAGCATAATGGACTCAAAAAGTACATCATTAATATTTTCTCTAATGCAGACTAACTCTCTGAAAGTATAACCAAGGTAGAAAGAATTTTCACTAATTTAATATTATTTCTTTATTCATAGACGTATTACAAGTAATAGATGATAAAAATAAGAAGGACTAAATAAAAAGAAATAAATGGAATCTTACGTCTAACTCTTTCGGAAGGTGTATAGGAACTCATTAATTGAAACAACACATTGAATGTGAACTTTGTATTATGATTTTTTATTTAAGCTTTAAATAAAGTCATTGTATACGTTTACATGTAATTTATGATGAATAAATACAAAAATAAATACTGAAAACAGTTAAAATGTTACATTATGGCGTATATATACCACGCAATTAGGCGCCATTTTTGGCATATGTCATTCCTATATTGACAATGCGTGAAATCTGGTTTATAACATGCAGTGCTTTTATCCTAGTTATCATTAAAAGAAAAAATAATATTTATTCCTTAAAACATTACATAATAACCTACGCTTCGTCATAAACAACGTGTTTTATGGCAAGATATAATTATAAATATATTTTTCATAAGACTCTATTATTATAAAATAATATTTTTTTCTAGCACAAAAGCATGCAATTTTTTTCTTTACCATTCAATAGTATTCTATAAGTTTATTGCACATGAAAAGCATTGCAAGAAATTGTATTTATTACAAATATAACAATCTAATTCTAATATAAATCTCCATTGCCGAGGATATTAAAAAAAAGAGGTATATAGTAAGTATATTAGTTCCACAGAAATAAAATTTCGTGTGCCATATGATATAATGACATAGTAAATAAGTTTCTTTCATTAATAATCTGCTTACCTACTTATGTTTCAGCAAAAATACCCAAAAAAATGGAATGAATTTGTTTTTTTTTCATATTGGCTCAAATTTTAAAGCCTTCATGTCTTTGGAAAAATACTAACGTAATTATAATCTCTTGTACAGAAATGTTGAAAACAAGCCCTTAAAATTATTGAACATCTTTTTACTTTCATAAATGTAACTAACCAGTGATAAAATTTAACACAAAACAGTATTTTAGAAAAACTTTAATCCAACGATTATTTCAATTCAAAATTGTTTTACAATTGCCGTTATTAAGCCACTTTCATTAAAATACTATTTCATTTATATATTATCCATAAATTAAAACTATTAAATATGTACCTCAATATTTCTTTATAACATATCCACAACTGCATTAAATACATAGCAGAAAGTGGATGTTGCCATATTAAAGATTTTCTACCATTTATATATAGTCATATTTATTTGAAGGCTTTCACTATCCATATAATGAAGATAATTGCTAGAATCACACCAATTAGTATGAAAAAGAACATTTTTCTTCTATATCTTCGTTGATATTCCGCTGCCTTGGCTAATTCATCAACGCCAGCCTCGACGCCTGCACTAGCTGCTTCTATGTGACTTTCTACCGTGTCTGTAGAACAGAAATAATTACCTATTTAATACTACTCACTTGATATATTAATTTGATAAAAGTTGATATGTAATATAGTATAACATTTAAATATATCTAACTAGCTGTATGAACATTTAAAATAAAATGTTATAAAGAATTTTGCATTATTGAATAGCCATATGTGATAAAAATATATAAAAACTGTGTATATGTATTCCTTTTCAAAGCAATAATTCTAATAATTTTTATATTTTTAAATATATAAACCATTTTAATTTATATCAAGTAATTAAAAATTTTAAAGAGTTGAACTTTCTTGTCTAGCAAAATACCTGTTTTTCTAAAGATTTGAGCATAATTTATTGACCGATATTAAATTCATGTCAAATACTTAAGAAAATTTAAAATACACTTTAAACTATCTGATTTTATCTGATAAAAGTAAAGGTTAAATAATTTATCATAAAAATCATAACAGAGTATATTTATGAATATATAATATATGTCATATATTTAAAGAATTATTAGAATATTCTTACCAACTTTCTGTCCTTGAGCATTGACCATTTCAGCCAGATCTTGCATAATTTGGTTAACATCTAACACATCAGCTTCGATTTTGTTCATATAAGCTTCCTTTTCTAATAACATACTCGTTTCGAATTGTATTAGACGAGCCTAAAAAATAAACAATATTGATTTAAACACAAGTTTTAAGTAACAGTAAAAACTACATTATCTTACTAATAATTTGTACTAGGTATATATAGTTAAACCATATAATTATTAAATATAAATTTTTTACATATTTTACATACTATATCTTGAAAACTGTCATTACTACAGTAAATGCATATTTAAATATACAGTGGATTTCATTAATAACGACCTCGGTTGTAACGACTTTTTAGTTATAGCGACGTTAAACTTACGTCCCTTGAATTGAAAGCATACTTACGTAACAAATTCTTTCCGTAATAGCGACTTCGGATATAGCGTTTATTTAGCGTATTTTATATAAATAGTGAATATTTAAAAATTATAAACTATATTTAATTAGTTATATATTAAAGTGTAAGTACCTGTGCCTGTTGATTTGCTAAAAGAGCTGATTCTTCATCATCAGCTATAGCTTGTCGTTCCAAAGCATCTGGATCATTCCTTTGCCTTGCCTGTGTTGGCATATGTTCAGCCATTTTTTCTGATAATTGCTAGAATACATGACATATAATTATAAGCATATTTAGGTGAAGGTAAGCCAACCACATAATACGTCATCTAGAATATTCATTACTAAGTAACTTATTTCTTAATGATAATCTTTCATGCATCATTACACTAAGTCAATTTAAAGACATGAAGACATCGACTGAAATCTAGTTACTATAAATACTAAAATATAGATTACTTTCTGCATAGAGGAGTATCTTGCCAGTGTTTCTCTGAACACTTGAGTCAATCTTTCCACTTGCAGCTTCTGTGGTTTATCTCCTCTGCGGACAACCACACCCAGTCTTTGAATATCCCGAGCCGTTGCTGATATAGAGCCATTTACGTTTTGTTGTGTGTCATGGCTGAAATTATAAAAATAGAATAATTTACTATAGTTTTCAAGGATATTTTGTAAGATTTTCACAATAAGAATCAGTCTATAAATTAAATATGAAATAATTGTTTATTTTAAAATAATTAAAGCATATTATATTTCTTTTATTAAAAATTCTAGTTCTCATATTGAAATGCATCAGAATTATGTAAAAATTCATATGTAATATTGTTTAAAACCAGTTTTTAACATCAAACTTGTTTGACATCAAGGAATGATAAATTATATATTAAATATTGTACCACAAACAAGTCAGCAATAATGCTCATATTTCTAAATTAAAATTAATTACTTTTCACTAATGACTTAAGTTGTAAAAAATTGTTCAATGATAGTATAGAAGGTCTATAATTGTAATAATATGAATTCACAATATAATACCAGTACATAAAGAGATATTTAAAAGAATACTCATGAAAATCTTAGATCGCAATATAAAGAGTTATTTTCACTTAATTCTACTATCATTTGGTTTGAAAATACATATGATGTATGTGTACTCACATTTTATCTCTCAGTTGTACACTATCATTGGGTCCACCAATTTGTTTCATCAACTTTTGCAAAGCCTGTAGTCCGTTGTTAATAGTGTTCACATTGTCTGCGATTCCTTCGCTGAGATTGTAAAGTTCTGTAGGGCTAAAGTCGGCAAAAGCAACGGTGGGTGGTGCCGCCGTAGAACCATAATCACGGCTCGATCCACTTATAGGTTCTCGTTCTGTCATGGTCAAGCTAAATACAAGTATTTAAGCAATTATATAAACTTGCTCATATTTCACCAAAATAATATATTAAGTTTGCTTTAATAGAGGAAGTACGCAGTAGACTATAAATGGGTTTTTTGTTTTTTTTTAAATATGAGCTACAGAACTTCCAAATAACGAAGTTTTACTACTATTTACTTTAAATAAAAACAATTTTCAAAGCCAATTCTTTGCTTCATATACTTAAATTTAAACTGATAATATCATACGTTGATTTTATTGTTATTATACTATGAATCACTTTAATACACTTTAATACTTTTGTGACACAAAAGAAAACTAGGTAAGCCTTTGATCAATAATATTTGAAATTAAAATTACTCTACCTTTACGTAACCTATTGAAGGAAACCGGATTTATGAATAAATTTACTTTAAACTGCGACTCTTTAGCTTTCCACTATAAAGAAGTTTAAATTGCGGCTACATTAAAAATTATTACTAAATGTATTTTCGCTGATACGTCAAACTGTCACTTGTTTGGCAGAAATGTCAATGATCATAAGATGTCAGTCATCTGTTGAACAAAAATGTTAAATTAGTACCTAATTTTAAACTTAGTATTTGTTGTTAGAATTATAAGAAAAACACAATAATTAAAAGTATTAAATGAAAATTTTCTTTAGTTGCATTTTCTTACATATTTGTCGAAAGTTTGATCGCTGAACACAAGATGTCGCCCTAATCGTCTATAACAACATCGTTGTGTTTACATTGTACATATAACTATATTATGTATCTGGTTGCGTCTGAATTTATTTTTATGTTTCACTGGAATTACCCAAGATAATGTAGTTTACATTGAGTATATATAACAAATATATTAAATTATTTGGATTTTCCCACTTTACGTGATAAAATATTTTATAGTCTGATAGATAATAGATTATGATCATCTGCCAATCTTTTTTCCACGAAGTGCGAGATCGGCACAGAACGTTCGTCTTCCTTCGTACTGTATAAGTTTCGGCTATGGTTTATGAGCAGCCGTCTAACTGAGTTCAACTCTCCTCGGGAATAATGTTGTTGACTGGGTATACGGCTAGCCTTTGGTCAGCAGAATACACAATGGGCAGGTATAGATTAAATTTGGGATAACGAAAGTGTTAGTTCCAATCTCTTATAACTGTCATATGTGTAATATATTTAATAAATATGAGTAATTTATTTAACTATACAATGTGATGACATGTTGTTACTCGATAATATCTTAAAACCGAATTGCTGAAATATCTTATTAACTATCTAACTGAACTAATCGCTATTTTAAATGATAGAGATTTTCAGAAACCGGTCCTTTTATTTTTCCGAAAACAAAACAGATCTTTCAAGAATTTGGGATACACAAAGACTTATTTTACCCGAAAGCGCCAGAAAATGTACCACATGTATGTGGATGTATGAATTTTCTTATAGATCTTGAAATATCAGATGTCGCGAAACTGGCAATAATTATGGTGGTGGCAAATCATATTAAAGTTAGGCATTTTTCAACTTCGTTGTTTATTATTTACCTACTTATAACTTACAAGGCTTGTAGTACCTAAGACTGACGAAAATGCTGTTAGAAGACCAACTTGCTCTGTCTATCACATAATATACTATTTTATTTATATTAATCTATATTTTCACTTTTGTTTAAATCCTAAGTAATAAATTTCTTGAATTGCATTTTGCCTCCAAAATTTTTTTACCATCGAGTGGCTTAAAGAATTAAAACTGAATAATGTTACATTCTAGTTTGTTTTTCATAAATAAAATTATTACTAGCTTAATACAATAACTTTACTCAATACGAGATATATTTCTATCGATATAAAATCACTTTATATGCCTTCTAGATTAATTTAATCAATCACAGACACTGTTATCAAGAAACGTGAATAATTGACACGAATTGTAAACGCGTGCAACAAGCTTTGTATTGTTTGTATTACAGAGAATTAAAAAAGGTTTTTGTAAATTCACAATTTCCCCTCAATTAATATCATCAGTATAAAACCTCTTTGTTTTTAATCTATTTAGATTTTTTGAAAAATTAATGCTATAAACTTTACTTGTGATAAATACCTAGTTGTAGAAATTTATGTATAGATATTCAAATAATATGTAGACAGTTTAATGAAACTATGTTAATGTAAGGCATGAGCTAACATAGCATTTATTTTCTATGTTAAAGTTTTAAATAACAAATGGCTCACAGTAAATCGATTACTCCACGAGTTTCATTACCTATTCAAAAATACCACATCGCAATTAAGGAGGTAGCACAAAATAAAATACCTGGTAAGCACGCAAGGATTCCTGTTGAATTCAGGATGCATAAACCACTCAACACCTGTTTGATAAAAAAACTATCTTATGGATTAAAAATAATGCTTTACAGAACGGAACCTCCTTGGAACCGCGTGCGGAATAATAAACTAATACATCTTGTCATTCCTTAAAGACCTCCCAACATTATAACTCAGAATTTAAGCTTAGATTTTGCAGCAACAATATATATTTTTTGTATTGTTTATGTTTAAACAATAATACTATTTGTATAAAATATTTAATATTGTGTTGTAATAAGTTTAATAAATGTATTCGATGATTCATGAGAGATTTTTTAAAATGTCTTAATATATTTAAATTTCTTAAGATCTAGAAATTTCTTGGACCTTCAGTTTTTGGCTATAATATTGGAAAATGTTCCGTATTTCAGATGATGTTTTTTAACCAAAACATACAAAGTTGGTAAATTTATAAATTGTTAATTTTTAGGCCATGGCTAACCCTTGTTAAAAAAGCGTTTTTAATTATCGTTATTTCATTATGATTCACTAAAAATTTGATGTCAGTGATTTTTTGGAAGTATACAAAATCGAAATTGCAGAACCAATAAATCCAACGCTTCAAGTAGAATTTATATGGTTGATACGAAAGGCACATGTTTTTACTGATAGCAAGTAAGAAACTTTATAATCCAATACTAGCTCACAGCATGGGGGTTTCGAGGCCTAAATAATGATGTTCAATGCTCTGACATTATTAACGAATGTAATGTATCATCTACAACATTTAATATGTCTTATACACGAAATTTTCAGTGAAATTAATGACACAATACTTCAGAGACAATGATATTTATCACGAATTATCTAGTGGACTTTAATTGATCATGGCTATTGGACCAGATTTGATGAAACTAACTCCATAAGATAAGTTTTATAGTTATTCCCAATTAGAAGAATCATGAGGAATGCTGAAGGAGAAAGAAGCCAACTGCTCAAATTGAACAGCTCAGAGTAGTTACAGTCGTCTTTGCAAAACAAGATGTTTCTAGGATGCATACTTTTTTAATATGACGCAGACAGCTAAAATTGCAGAGCATGAGTAGATACAGGCCAACGAATTCTTTATTAATTATAAAAAATTGCCCTTACTTCAAACACATCATTGCAATGCTAAATATATAATAAAATTGTAGAAAAGTGCTGTCTGTACATTGAAAATAAAAATAAAAAAAATAGCAGGGGTTATTGTTATAAAATGTAATTAACTTGTTTTTTGTCTGTTTGTCTGTTTGTCTGTTCACGCTAATCTCAGAAACAGCTGATCCGAGTTGGATGCGGTTTTCACGAATATATTGTGGTATGCTTCAGTTAGTTCAGTATGCTTTAGTGTTTGTTTCATGTCAATCGGTTCATAAATAAAAAAGTTATGTCAAATTAAAGAATCACGTCAAACGAAGTCGCGGGCACAGCTAGTACTAAATATATTAACTTGTAAAACACTTCACAGACGGTTTTATAGACACCAATGGATGTCAACGCCATTTAAGAATGAAATATGGTGGCTTAACAAGAAGCGTATTGATGTAATTGGTTTAGAGGTCAAGCATAATCTTGTTTCTATAAAATTCTAAATTTTGATCAAAAATTACACCTATTGTAATTGCTTACACTAAAACTAGATTTAGTTAACTTCTCGGTCGTTTTATTATTATATACTCTTAAATGTTTAATGTTAGAAGTAAAATTGATGAATCTTAAGAAGAATGCCCATTCATGTTACAAAACAGAAGTACTGGACCGAATACATTTTATTCACTTAAGAGAAAAGTGTGTTCGTTATATATCACTAAAATCTTCACTTTTTTTGTCTTAATGACTTCGAATGTCGAAAACTATCAATAATGGCAGAATTCAAATATACAATATCAGTTTCTTCTCATGTCAATGAATTTTTTATTCTATATCCTAAAAAATATTTTTTAATTGAAGTATAACCTCAGCATTGCTTTAATATTAAAAACATAATTACACGAATCTAATAATATTTAATACAAATAAAATCTAATATTATCTAAAATAGGAAGATCGAGAAAACCCCAATTTTGGATGTGTTGTTATAAAAGCTATCCTATACTGATTGTAAAGCAAAATGTATTACAAAACTGAACAGCATACTTTTATTTTATATTGTAAATAAAATAAAAGAAATACTCGTATATATTAGCAATTATAATAAGTCGAAGATATCAATAAAACATACATTATAAGAAACTATAAAAGCAGTTAAACCATGTAAGTAGATATGAAAATGTCAGCCATTGAGAAATAATTTGTTCGACTATTATTTAGGTAATATTAATAACAATATTTTTCGGATATATTACCACATATCCCGTCTACCAGTGATCACGGTTGCTGAAAAGTAGCCGAAACGTCGGGAGTATGTAGTTTTTTACAAAAATAAACCGCGTAGTATATCCGAAAAATATTAGTTACATTTAAATGAATAAAACTCGCAAAAGTCTTAGATCTCATATTTTATCTCAATACAAATAACTCTAATGGGAAAAACTTAAATCGTAACAAGTAGCTATTAGTCCATTTCACACAGGATTTAAACACTTAAGTCTAGATTGCGCGTACATTTAAGATGTTTTAGATCTAACCGCGCGAATGTTGCTAA